GCTTCAGCTTGATTTTAACCACGAGTATCTTCTGAAAGTGCACAAATAGTTGTGGTTATAGACCTTGACTTGCAAACAGTTGCAGCATCTGCCAATCTGACCCTTCACAGATAAAATACCACCTCCTCAGCACAAAAGCTGCCACTCATTGCTCCTGCCATTATGTTTCTAAACAGGAAGGCCAAACATTAAATAGACCATGTGAGACCAAATACCCCTTTTTCCAATTAGATGGGGTGGTTTTAAGGCAGGGCTAGAACACTTTGGTGGCGCTTTGTTGGTAATGACCCACCCCAGATCACAGGTGGGTGGGAGGGTGCTAGGACCCATCTGTCACTTGTCCCCATGCCTATAGCCAAAGTGGCCCTGCCACAGCATGGGGAGAGCCCACAGCCAAAGGGCCCATGGGTCTTACGTTGCTGACCCCTGCTGGAGTGCATTGGTCACCTTTTAGGTTCTGGATAAAAAAAAATCAATGTTAATTTTGGCTGTAAGAGACCTGTGTGATCTAGGACCTAATTAAGAGACTCTCTCTCCCATCAACTCACACTGCCAGAACTGGGTTCAATTCAGGTACTGACCTGGAACCTCCACTGGTGCTGGAGCACAAAGATGCTCTCTGTAACAGACATGATGCTTTGAAGTGTACCCCCCCAGCCCTTAATGCAGAGCAGCTGGAGTTCATTGTTGTCTTGTGTAGGCTGCCAGGGCCCATTCATATCCCTTAGCAGCAAGGGTATGGAAGGCTCTGGAGGCATAGAGGTTTTACTGCTGCACTAATTAAGAACTGCTAGTCTTACAAATGAACACTGAACAAGCTGTCAGGTGTACCCCCTATTGCAAAGGTTTGGGGAGTCCTTCATAGCAAATGGTTTATCTCAATCTAAATAAAGTCAATATGCAGCACATTTCACCAGCACAAAAGACATTTAAAAATGATTTCCCAGGTTGGGAAAGATAATTTTTATTGTTTCAAACCCCAGATGTGGAAACATGGCCAATTAGCCACTTCTATATTTAGAAAGATATTTGAACCCAGCTGTTGAAACCAGAGAGTCATCATTATTAACAAATCTGTGAACCAGACCAACTCTTCTAGGGCTCATTAGTATATTTTTAAAACAGACCTTTTTTGTTTTGCTTTGTTTTGGGAAATCAAGGGGAATGGGGTAAGTAAAGTCTGTGTGCTCCATCCTCCTCCTCTTACTGGGCAGTTCCAGTGGGTTTCCATAGCAAGGACAGCACTCTCGATTCAGCAAACACAGAGAGCTGACCATGAAAAATGGTTGGGACTCTGGGAAGCACATCTGGTTTGCTGAGGAGGAAGAGAGGGAAAAATATGAAGAAAACATAAGAAATAGCTCAGTGCTGGGTAAGAACCGTTCCCTTTCAGGAGTCCAAAGGCAGCTCAGTGACAGTGGAAAGACCAAAGCCATAGGCTCAGCAGAAGCTGGAAAAGACCCCGGTTCAAGAATAGTAGGGGTGTATTAGGGAAAGGTAATATGGAATGGAAGAGAGGTCTCTTAAGTGTGTTATAGTCATTAAAATAAAATATCTCCTCTTGTTGAGTGCTTTATGTTGGCAAATACCTACAAATGTGTGCAACATCTTCCAGACACGGCAGTCTGTCAGTGGGAAGACTCCAGTTTTCCTTAAAAGAACAGGATCACAACTTTTCTGCATCTCCCTCATCAGGAAAAAATTGTAGCACTGACTAGGACTGCAAAGTTTTATGTTTTTAACCTGCTTTTTGCCTTTAAAAGAATCAAACTGCATCTCACCCCTGTTACATGGAGCCAGTAGAACAGACCATTCTAGTACAACATCAGACAGGGGGAGGCATATGTAAAAAGATATCACTCTAGCAGAGATAAGCAAAATGGTTCAGATGCTTTAAGAGCTGAACTGAACCATCTTTCAAAAGCTATCATGAGCTAAATCAGAGTATTTTGAAGGTTGAAAACCTGTCTCCAGGCTCTTTTTCTCCCCCAAGCACTCCCTGCCCCCCACGGCACATGTAAAGACATCCAAAGGTTCCCAAAGTGTTTTATAGAGCACTTAGATTCAGAATAACTTACCCACCTCTGAAGTACACTCACTGATAGGATGGAAAGCAGCAAACATTTCACAACCTGCACAGCTTTTTATTTTACCTGGCTGCCCGGTCTAATAATTGGCTGCCATAGATTCTTTAATATCCCAAAGCAGTCCTGATCTCTATTTGATATCTCATCCAAAAGAGAGCACCAAAAAAACATAGCCCCTCTTAACATCATGTCATATCATCACAATTGCTCTTCAGAGGCACCATCCCCAGAAAACCTCTGCACAGAAGAGAAAACTTCAAGAGAGTCATGAAGATGGAATTACCTTCTGGCTATGGACATCATCTATTCAATGAATGGTATAAACTAAAGATTGGCTAAAACAGCCACTTCAGTCTCAATATCAGGTTTAAATTCCCAGCATTTGATCCTGCTGCTGCCTTCTTTTTGAGTCCAACCTAGATCAAGAGTTCTTGCTCTTTAGGAGTTTTGGCCACAAGGTGGCCAAGGTCTCTCAAGATCTGCTTACAAGATCCAAACTCTGCCCCAGGAACAGGAAAGCCTAGGCCTAGACCGTCTCCAGATTAAAGCACTATATCATCATGGTCCATCCCCGTCTTCAAGGCTGGCAACTTGGCACATTAAAATTGGGGAAAAGATGCATATAAAACATAAGGAGAAAAAAATAACACCTCTATTGTTTCTACAAGCTGAGGATGGATCTGAATGGAAAATCCCCTTTATCCACAGCACACACAAACAACAGACATATGGGCTGCCCCACTTCTAAGAGCAGAACAAAGGAGGTTTTCTGTCTGATTCCATTATTGAGACAGAAGATATCTGAGCAGACAGCTCCTGCCTGAAAGCTGCAGGATTCAGTATATGGAGCCCCAAACACTTTTAAAAAGTTTTCCCACCTTGTCCCTGGCCTCGTTGAGAAGGTCTTCTATCTCTGAGAAGCTGAAACTGGCTACAGTGATGAAGTCACTCATGACAGGGACAAACCTGTCCCCTGGTTCCCGTATGCGTCTCTTCTGGTAGTCCAGTTCCTGAAAGGAAAAAGGCCAAAGTACAGATTGTCACCTAACATTCGTGTCTCAGTAAAAATAATAGGATTGGGGACGTACATCTCAAGTGTTTGTTTAATAAAGGGTGTATGCCCGCTCTTTTTCTTCTAATAAACCCATCAGCAATTAGCACTCAGAAACCTACTTCTTTTCAAATTAAAGGTGGCAGCTAGATTAGGCAGAGGCAAATCTTGGTTGTAATCTCTTGGATCCCAAAATAATTCTCACACTATCCACCTAATTTATTTTATTTCTAAGATACCTTTAGCATCGAAGTGCCACATACCTTTGATATTACAATTTTCCTTCATACTTGGCATGGGAAATAACTGAGATCTCATACAAGATTGCATGCACATGTGGACCTTTTAACAGAAACTGTTATGCCACAGAAACAGCACCTGAAGAAATACCAGTCATGCAACCTGTCACAATAATTATAACTGTGAAAGAACAGCAAACAACTATATCATGTGGTTTCCCTTTGTAGAAGTAACTGTGTTACTTATAGCCCACTCTTCCAACACCTCACATACCAGACCTGAAGATCAATCATATTCAGGCAGTCTAAAAAAATGTAATTCTAATTTAGTTGTGATGAGGGGAGAGGAGAGCAGGATTTTTGTTCTCAAATAGGAGGTATTCTAGGATTCTCCGACTATTAACTCTTGTCCAAGGCCCCTTGACAAGTTGGCATATGCTTTTCATCAAGGAAGATATGGCTACTTCCTCCCTAAGAGTAGGTTAATACTTAGATTGACCAGAGAAGGTCAGTCAACAATAAATACCAGGTGTCCTCTATTTTACCTGCCCTTCAGGAGCCTAGAATGGGGAGATGGTGCATACAATGGATGGTTGTGTTCCTAGCTCTGCATCGCCTGATGACTAAAGTCAGATTGTAGGACCCTGTTAGAAGAGCAGAAAACTCATTCCTGCTGAAAAAGAGGAGAGTTCACCGTCTGCTCCTTTCCCTCAACTCTGGCACATGTTCCTGTGTCCGGTCATTTAAAAAGAGAACCATGGACAGTTTCTCACATGCCCTTCTCCACCACACTGATGGCATTCAGCTAAATCATGATGCTTCCTGGAAGGATTATACTGTAAAAAGAAAGTTTCCTTTTCCTTTGTCCTTGTTTGATCTGTGTGTGCACTCTATAGTCCCATGGCAGCCATGAATTTAGGATATTATTTTCCTTTCAGCTGACCAATCCATGGGAATTATGGAGCCCTGCTCTTTTTATAGGGGGACTAATGAAGGACCAACAGTGGGTCAAGTTACTACATGAATTTTTGTTGCTAAATGTCCTTTGGAAACAAAAAATCTTTCCACTTTTATTGTTCCATGTCTCTGCCTGATGCTGCTTCAACTTGATGAAGCTACCCTTTGAAGACCATACCATTACCTCTAGAAAGACAACGATTTTGAGAGCTGATTAAGTAGGAGTATAAGCATCACTTTTGAGAATCCCTTTGGCTTTCACATGATGAATACGGACACAGAGCTATGCAGAAACAGCAATCCATGTTGAAGTGATGTAGGTATGGGTGAGAAAGAGACATGCTAGAATGTGGATGGAAGTTATTAAAAAAGGGGGTGCAAGTGAGCGGAATGGCAGGACAAGCCACAAGCAGGAGGATGTAGAAAAATACAAGTTAGAGCACCACCCCCCTTGCTTTGTATTACATCTTCCTTCTAATTGCTTTTCCTAACAGAGTCTCACCTCCTGCCCTCTCAGCACAAGTGCAGCAGATTACTACTTCTCCTCTGAAATGGACCCGACATAAGGACAAACTGATTCATAATGCAGAGTTCTGCTCAGCATCCTCATACATTCTGCCTTTTTCTTCCTCCAAATGTGGTCTTTGGACAGTCAGGGATGGTCATCCTATGTGGTCTTTCTGCCATCCTATATGGTCCTTCCCTGGCCCACACCAGAAAAGTGCTACAGTATTAGCCCAGATTGTAGTCGTAGTATCCAAAGCCATAGCATTTGGGGCTGTTACTGTATGACATTTTTTTCCAATCTAAGTATAGGAATCAGGGGTCTGATTTTCAATTTCTCACTGTAATTTTATACCAATATACTTCTCCTACAGTAAAAAAAAAAAAAAAAAAAAAAAAAAAAAAA